TGTTTTAATCGGTTGGAGTTTGTTTCAGTTTATGAGGTGATGTTATCCATGTGATGACTTTAATAGCAAGGTCACTTTTCCTGTGGAAACTAAACGAAACGATGAACATAATATAATGAAAGAAGAGTCAGTTCTCTGTAGTAGGGTCTCAATTCTGAATTTCGAAACGAGCGGGAATGTTGTGAGCCGCGGAAAAGGCCGCGCCTCTACTTGTGCACATGGTACTCAGTCAGTATGTATGTGAGCTTATGATTCGTAAATCTCTATGTCTTTTGTCTACCCGCTCGGAGAACTACCATCTTGCCGCGATGAGGGGGCTTAGTAAGCGTAAGGAATTCAACGGCTATACCGGCGGTAGCGTATGCTGCCAGAAGGGCCACCCAAGCCGGGCAGGTCATGGGGGAGCGCCGAACCCAAAAGTAGTTCACCCTGGCGGTAGGGATAAAACACATCCGTTATGGGGGAAATGTCCGATAACGATTCAACAGTTAAGGTGCAGGGCGTCGGAGAGACAGTACCGGCGGTTATTGGGGGTGCGAGCGCAGGACCCCCGGCGTCGATATCCTGTGACTGCAGGAAACCCGAAATGGCAGTGGAGTGCTTGGCTGCCAAATCGCGTAATGCCACAAGCAACAGAATGATCCGCAGACAGAAAGGGACGATAGAGGATCTAGAACCGGGAACCACAGACGGATGCTTCGTCTTCACAGGTCCCTCAGTGTAGGAAGCAGAGTTGGCTACGGCCTTCTTGGATACAACGAGGAGCCGCAGAAGGCGGTGCCACAAGGCATGGAGGCTGAGACCCTACGCAAGCGGCTGCAAGCGGGATACAGGGATCGGCAAAATACCTTCGTGGTATTTGGTGAACTTTGGCCGTGGTCCCTACGGATCAGATTCGGAGAACGATATGCATGTACCATTTAGATTCTACATCTTCTCCGCTAGAGGGCGCTCGCGCACTGAACGCGGCAGAGTGTGCGAGCGAGAAAGAGAATGAGTAGCAGGTTTCTGGTTGAAGTAGTCGTGGGACCAACTGAAAATTTCTTCATTCTGGCTATAATTATGATTCGATCTGATTCATATTCGGCAATCTAATAGATATGGGCATTCTCTACGATACTGCGTTTTATTTGTTATTAGTTTTATCGTATCTTTGAAATTGTGCCTGCCACAGATTTTCGTTCTTTGCGGTGGCGGTGAGTCTGGAAACCAACTTTGGTTTCTCTAGCTCTTATAGTCTCTGGGATCCAGCCGACAAACAAGACGGACGGACGGACGGACATGGCTCTATCGACTCGGCTATTGATGCTGATCAAGAATATATATACTTTATGGGGTCGGAAACGTTTCCTTCTCTGCGTTACACACATCCACTTTTACCACAAATCTAATATACCCCTTAAGTCTTTTTTGAGTACGGGTATAAAAAGTTCCGCAAAAGATGGTCGCGCCCATGATGCAACTTTACAAGGTGGTCTCGTCGTGACATCTGCTTTCTTTTGATGACTTTACGTTTGTCAAATGTCATCGTGAAATCCTGCGTAAGCCCTTGCATCTACATCTATGTACATCTCTCTTCTCAAACATTCACACTCACACAAAATAAGCTCCGAAAAAGGGGAGAGCATTGCGGGACGGGACCACCTTGTATAATTTCATCATGTGCCGAACTGAGAGAGGGAGAGCAATAACGGCTGCCAAGCATGCGTTGAATTAAGAGAGCCAGAGAGCCGTCATCCGATCCAGCAACAGCAGACCGAATATCGCACAAAGCGCAGCGCGAAAAAAACCATATGTTGTTGATCGAGAAGCGGCGATCATGAGCCCAGAGGCGCAACATCACTGGGGGTTTTTTGAAGTGTACGCAGTTCAACAGTCGCTAAATCAGCTTGCAGGCTTCTGTTTACAACAGGCCAGAACTTGTCATAAAATACCGTAGATTCTACGGCGTAGAGAATAGGGCTTAAGGGACCCCAAGTTTGAAGTTAATAAACTTTAACGCAGATAAGTCGGCATCTCGCTTGACCGCTTAATTATTTTTATTAACATTAACATAATAAAAGCTCTTCAATTAGCTCTTGCTTAAGCCGGTCGTCTTTTCAGCTCGCTTATGCATTTTCTGCCTTTTTGCCAATTTAATTCAATATTAATTACAACTAATCGTATACATCGTTAAACTCATCATACTTGATCCTTACTGCTGACAGCAGTAAGTAGGCTGTCAGCATCCGATCTCCTTTCTGTGTGCCTTCGGGCGCGTTTAGCTGCCCGTGATACTGGGCTTCCGTATCTTCTTCAAATCCACGCTCTTTTTGAAAGTGTTGAAACCCACGGGAATGATGAACTTGTTTGATTGTTTCTTACCCTGTAGTTGGAATTCTTTTACCTCCTCCCAACAACTTTGTCAGCTGGGCATCAGATAGCTCATCACTGAAAATATCCGTGAATACCCGAGCTACCGGGAACGCATAAAAGTTCTTATAAGCCATCAGCATCCGATCTCCTTGCTGGGTGCCTTCGGGCGCGTTTAATTCCCTGTGGTAAAGCAGCTTCCGCATCTTCCTCGAATCCACGCTCTTTTTGAACGTCTCAAAAGTGACGGGAAAGATGAACTTTCCCTTTCTGTCAATGGTCAAAACAATTAGCCATTAGGGAATTGTGGCATACATTGGGGTTGGGTTGTACGGTACTCACCCTTCCACTTCGGCCGTCACACCATCCTCATCCGATGCTTCCGGCATGGTCAGCAGCTTATCCTTCATTTGTTGGGGACATGCGCGCACCTTGATCGGGTACCGCTCGCGGACAGTGGCGTCCTTGTAAAAGGCGATGTAATACCATCTGGCACACTCCTCTGATCCCTTGATCCCTTGATCTCTTTCAACCGCGGATGCTATTTCCGGCAGGTTGACAACTAGCGTTTTAAATTTATCAAATGACACCGGTAAAGACATTTTGGTTTGTTAAATTTGTTACAGATTCTGCACGGAGGGCAGTACTCAGATCAAAAAACAAAAAGGTCGGTATATACTGGAAAAGTATTTGCATGTTTTTTTTGGTATGTTTCGACCCGCGACAAATATTAACTAGATTAATGCAGATTTAGATTAATTTGTGTGCCGTAAAAGAATTTATGTGGCCAAGTTCCCGAAGGCAATCAACTAACCATATTATGAACATTATAAGTCAATGCTTCCTTAGGATAAATAGTAGTGAAAAGGTAAACGAAGTGTTTAATCATTTGCTGTGCAATATCTAGGTGTAATGTATAATTTTGGGACATCCAACCAATCCTTCGAGTTGGGAAGGTGACAGAGGAGCAGGCTGAGCTTTCCCAAATGGAGGTATAACCGCATTCGCTGTATCGTTCTCCGAATCTTATATGTTATAAGCTTATATGTACGCCCGCTCGGGAGCCGTGTGGATCGAGAGAACACGCTGTTGGAGAGCGCTAACAGAGCTGTCCACGGGAGTGGCTACAGACAAGTAGCGGAGAGCCTGAACCTGTGGCTGTGGCTAATCTGGACGAAACACAAAAAAATGAAACGATCGACTTATATGCGGCCAGGGTAGCCGAGCTTGAGAGGCTGAGACTTTAAAATTGTGCCTGCCACAGATTTCCGTCCTTTGTGGGAAAGTGTGATATCACATGAGTCTGGAAACCAAATTTGGTTGCCCTAGATCTTATAGTCTCTGAGATCTACGCGCTCAATAAGACGGACAGACAGACAGACAGACATGGCTATATCGACTTGGCTATTGATGCTGATCAAGAATATATATACTTTATGGGGTCGGAAACGTTTCCTTCTCTGCGTTACACACATCCACTTTTACCACAAATCTAATATACCTGTTTAGAGGAGGATACCAAAGGTATCACCTTTATTTACAATGAAACGTCCCGAACAGATTAATGTACATATATGTTTGCTTATTGATAATACATATGCCTGATCGATGCTAAGGGCAGGCGGACCGAATTGCCCGTGCCCTAATACAAGCGAGAGAAAGATAGCTCAAGAGAGCGATAGCGAAGGCGAAAGAAAGAAGAAAGCTAGACATATATAAACCGCGATTCGTGTTTATATATGCGACGAAAGAAAAGTGCGAGAGATTGCAAAGGAATGCAAGTGCTAGACCAGATCATGACCATTGCGAAGGCATGTTAGGGCAGACGGACCGAATTGCCCGTGCCCTACGCGATGCTACGAAATAGAGAGCGAGAGAGTGTTCGAGAGAACGAGAGAGCTTAAATGATCGATAGAACGAAAGAGCGACAGAGCGAGAATGATAGGAAGAAGAAAGTCGCGAGACGAAAAGACGAAAGAACGGTTGAAACGGCTATTACAGTGAGGGGGCGGGTGTAGATACATGTCGATTAAAATTAGGTACAGTGGGCAGTGCAAATAACGAACAAATAACAGGAATTACTTTAAAGCTGCACCACTGACTAAACATACTAAACACCTTAACTCTTTTTTGAGAACGGGTATAAATATATTTCAAGGTATTACACCTATGTATGTATGTATGAATACAAAATTAGAAATTATAAAAAAATTAAATTGTAAAGCACTTTTCCTGGCCTTTTGCAGAATGTTAAGAATGCTCTAAAATATGAAGCGTAATAATAACCAATTTAACGACCGCCCTCTTACACCAATGTAAATTGATAAATTGATAGTGGACTTTTTTCATGCCGGCACAAGATCCAAGGCTAGAGCCCTGTTCGACTCCGGATCTGAGGCCACGTTTATTACTGAGCGGATTTCCCCCGAAATCGCCCACACAGCCCTCTTCGTCCTCTGGACTCCTCAGAAGCCTGCGTTCCCCTTCACTTATCATTTTACCAGAGCTATATTGCTCACACAAACACATGCCACTGCGTTGGCACTAGACCTAAGCCTAGTTTTGCTTCACAGTAGAGCTACCTAATCTCATACATTTGAAATAAAGAACCAGTTTTAATATTGAGCTCCACAAATGTGGATGTCTTTTCATCTTGGTTTGGTCAAGGCATTTACAATTATTGATAATTATTAATAATAATTAATAAAGATAAATATTATCAGAAATGATTATTCTAAAAACTTAAACAAAATAATTATTGTGGGATTTTTTAAATATAGCTTATAATGTCCCTGATAGTTAATAGTCGGTCTAGGGAAGTTATCCCTCATTAGGGAAGGCCCATTGGCCAATGTCAGGGAACTACTTATTCCGCATCCTTTTATACCGTATGCGGTTGGCCATCTCGACAATGGCCTTGTATCCCTGCTTTACCAAGTAGTCACTGCGGATGATGCAGAAATGGACAGTCGAGCCGGCTTGTCTCTGTTTGCCCCGATCGGTTTGGATGGCAGCACGCACCGCATCAATAGCCAAAAGCTTCGCTTCCTCTTCGGGCAAGTTTTCTTTCCAGCGCGACTCTAGCGTAGCAATGGCGCCCGCCTCACCCAATCCCAGCGCTACGTAAGGGCCAGGCCTATTGGAGCCGCTAAAACGGATACCAAAAATTGAAGGTCTACCCCTGTCCACGCCGGCGATTATCCAGTCCATACGGTTTGTACGCTTAAAGCGGTAAAACAGCTGTTTAATTATTTGATTAGCACACACAACTGGAACCTCTCTACCCATCTTCATCCGATGGCGGTCCAGCTTTGCATGAAGGAGATCTGCCAGTGTTTTTTTATCATCTGCGAAGCCAACTCCAGCAGCGCTGCAAAGTCACAAAAGGAAGTCGATGGTAACAAAATTCAATAACGGACCTAAGGAATACTCACTAGATGTTGTCTTGCAGGCGAAATATCTCCTTTGAACGACCAGAGGGAATCTTGGAGCTGGTTTTCCTCCGGATGTCGATGGCAATGATGACGCCATCCCGGAACGTAAGGCCCGTGATAGTTTTGCAGGTGTTCCAAGTATTTCGATTGACTCGTTTGGACCTAGAGCGATCGTAGTCGCTGGAGTGCGCAGAAAGAAAGGGCAAGCAGTGAGTAGCAATAATCGATAAATTAAGTGTAGCGAATAACGAGTAGAACGAGTTTTTAAAAAACAGAGTCAGTACGGCGGTAGTCGTAGCAGCAGATTATCAACGAAAAACGGAAACAGCCGCAGGTGGCAGCCCCCGTCGACATGCTTACTACGCTAGCTAGAACATAATCGCGCACTAAAGGAATATATTCCCTACCGGCTGAGACTTATTCCTCCCTTGGATGCCTGTACTTTATTCGGATAAGACAAGATTGTTTTTTGGACGTAACTCCTTTATTGACGACTTGGTTTCCTTAACATCATAACCTCGTGGCCCACGCTGAATAGTGATCGACATCCTCTGAGGCTGCTGTTTTTCTCTAGTTGCTTAATAGTAAGCTGGGGTTCGACTCAGCATGACTAAACACTGCTCTGAAGGACTTCACCTGGGGCATATTCTTCGGGTTTTTAACCCCAACTAATTATTAAAAATGCATGAACAAGCTAGTTGAACCTAGAAAAATACTTAATCAACCTAATTTACATAATTAACAAAATTCAGACTTTTATAACTAGAAGTTAACTCATCAATATAGAATAGTAAACATATGTAGCATTCATCACAGTAATTCCTCATCACAAACCATAATAATCAATACTAGGTAACAGTTGAACTAAAATATAAATACCTGACCTTGACAATTGTACAATTTTTGTGCTTGGAATAAGCTACTGGGCTCTCTCCGGTGGGTGTTAATTCAGTATGTTTGAACACAACGCTGAAAGATATCACTCGGTGCGTGTTTTGATTCCACCGAATTTGCGTAAGTTAGGTTGATTGATGAAAAATTGAATTTGTTTTCACATCGAAGTCTTTTTTTTTGGTCAAGATTCGCAAAGTTTCGGCAGAAATTTCCTTCTGTAACTCAGGTTTTGGAAGACACAAAAAGTTTGCCAATCAATGCTATTATGTTGACCCCAATTGTAGGTGTCGCGTCTGCCTGCGTTAAAGTGTCTATCCTCTTTCTTTATGCGTGGGTGTGTGTGCGCGTGGCATTTGACCAAGATTGATGGGAATTTAAATTTAGCATTTCGCTATAAATATTTGCGCGTCCCACTGTGTTTGCGGCCGCATCTCCAATGTTAGATCCTCCCAAAACTAACGCTGCGCCATCCCCCCAAAAACCCATCTTTTTCAATGCATGTGACTGTAGGAAGGTTTTGTTCGAAAACTTTCTGGTATGTGTGTGAGAGTTCCGCACTTAACTTGTCAGTCAGAAAGGAAGCAAGTAACTGTCGTCATTCAGTTAGTTATTCTCTGCTCCCTTTATCCCTGTCTTACTTCCTCTACTCTGCTCTCAGTTGGTTTTGACGGAGCCAATATCTTCCCTACGCACAGTGGCTGCAAAAACTATGTTCGCTGCTCCCAAGTACATGCGAAATGACAAAAATGGCTAGTGCAGTTGTGCAAAGCCTCCTGATTCCATTGGCACGTCATTCTCATTCCTGAATGACAGTGGCACCACTGAGATGAATCGTTTGTCTAGACAAGTGACTGGCACTGGATCTTAGCTGACGCTTACTGATTTTGCACCTGGACCGTCATCCTTTGTCAAAATCATAAGCTCACAAATTTATATACTGACTGAGTACGGGTATACAAGTTGAGTCGCGTCCACAGAAGCGACTCACAAGTTCCTTCTCGTCTTTTTATATTTGGTTTGTATATTTAGGTGCATTATAGTATAATTTATAAAAATAAATTGTCGAAGCTGTAGCTGTTTGACTAAACTTAAAAAAATCGCGCCTTTAGAACCCATTCGGTACGTTGCTGCGCCAACTAAAAGGACTTGTAATTTTGGTTCTACCGAATACAAGGTATGGCTAAATTTATGATCATACATATGTAAAATACCAGTTAAGGTAAAATATTGAGCTTTTTTTCACAAGTGTTGTTCCCACACAAATTAAGAAGACAAAATACAAATAGAATTACAAATAACTTTATACCTATAGTATCTCTGCGTCAGAGTAGTTTTTGGTAGTCATGTAGTCATGGCTTCTATTTACCGCATCTTAGTATGTACCTGGGTATAATAAAAAAAGAACATACCCGGAAATAGCTTTCATAGATTTGGTGACGGTGATGGGATAAAGGTAAAAGCGTTTGTCAATCATCTGAATAAATCCACATGTCACCGCCTTTTGAAGGGTGTCGGACACGGTCTCAATAAAATCAGGCTGGTCAGTCTGCGATTGCTGATAATAAGGTATACTTATAATTATATGTGTACATATGTAGGTATTTAACAAAAAAAATCTCATGCACATAAATGTACATGTATGTACATATAGATGTACTCACATTAGTTCCAAGGCCCAGTTGCTTTACTATCTCTATCAGGGTCGAAGGCTTATTGAGTTCTAGAAGAGCCTGGATGATAAGTAAGTCATTCTTGTTTACAGCACCATTTATTTCTTTGCGAAGTTGTATGGCCTTTTTTGATTTTGGTGGCATAATGTATTTGGAAAGTTTTATACGATTAAATTTAATCTTTCATGAAAATTAACTTCTTGTTAAATTCATAATTTGGGAAATAGGCAATTGATTAAAAAATAAAAGGTGTCTTTGTTTCCTTATGATGATTGATTATGATTTAGATGAAGTATTTTTTATTTAGCGTGTAGTTCAAAACACAGATTAAATTGTATGATTTAAAAGGCTAAAATGAACTAAAAACTGACTCCGTCTGTCGGCGACTACTTATCGCCTTCTACTATATGTCGCTACTTCTTATCGATAGTGTCTTAAGTATAAATGTTAATTAACAGGATTATCTTATCCACTTGATACCCTACTTTTTACATACATCAATCAAGTAAACGAGCATTGCCTGGTGACATATAAATGTATTTACTAAAAAATGTTTAAACAATTTTAGCTTAACTGTTTATTGATAGATTTTCATGAACAATACCGTAAACGACACATAATTAATGCACTTATACACTTATGCACTTTTGCACTTTTAATGTCTGGACGTTGATATGCAATGACTGCACCATCAAGTGGCCCATGCGACACCAAGCCGAAGCCTGTTACGCGCGGAGCCCAGGCAGAAACGCAGCCCCTCCTCCCGCCCAACCGACCGAGGGGCGCAGCCGCATGACGCGCGACGCGTGTTACCGAACCAATCAGGAGCATGCAGGAAAGATAGGTGTTAGACTAAAATTCGAGGAAAATTAGAGCTAAACACAACTCAAAGAGCTAAACATGCAAAGATAGCTAAGAAATAGTACTAATTACGGGAAAGGTATGTCACTAATAGTGATTTAAGAAGAGGAAGGGAATTAGTAGTGGATATTATATGGTAGAGGGAATTGAAGTCCGAGCATAGGACCCTAAATGGTTCGTGCAAGGAATAATTCGAACAAAGGAATAATGTTTCAAGTAGATCTAACAGGAATCGTAAAGTTTATGCGGCTCAACAAGTCAGGGCTATCTACGTCACCCTTGATCAGGTTGTGCATAAAAATCACACCAAGCATTTTTCTACGACTAACTAAGGTTGGAAGGTTTATTAAAATCAATCTGCGAGGGTAAGATGGCAGTCTCACACCTGCATCCCAGTTAAGGCCACGCAGAGCAAAAAGTAAAAAGTTTTTCTGGACTGATTCTATACGGTCCTGGTGTACCTTGTACTGGGGGCACCATACACACACCGATAGAAAAAAGCCCTGAAATTTTCATATTTTCACTTAGATTTTAATATTTAAGCCATTGATTTTCATCTGACGTAGGGTCGGTGTTCACGCCAGGCCTACTCGATCGAATGAAGCAATTAAAAAAGCAACTTTGTTGAATTGGTTGTTCTTTTTTCTTAATACAAATTGTTTTCTATTAACTTTAACAGATCCCACTGAACCAGGATTCCCCTTCATTTTCCCATCACGATCTGACCGCCGACATAGGTCGTGAAGATTCGGAGAACGATACAGCGAATGCGGTTATACCTCCATTTGGGAAAGCTCAGCCTGCTCCTCTGTCACCTTCCCGACTCGAAGGATTGGTTGGATGTCCCAAAATTATACATTACACCTAGATATTGCACAGCAAATGATTAAACACTTCGTTTACCTTTTCACTACTATTTATCCTAAGGAAGCATTGACTTATAATGTTCATAATATGGTTAGTTGATTGCCTTCGGGAACTTGGCCACATAAATTCTTTTACGGCACACAAATTAATCTAAATCTGCATTAATCTAGTTAATATTTGTCGCGGGTCGAAACATACCAAAAAAACAAGCAAAAACTTTTCCAGTATATACCGACCTTTTTGTTTATTGATCTGAGTACTGCCTTCCGTGCAGAATCTGTAACAAATTTAACAAACCAAAATGTCTTTACCGGTGTCATTTGATAAATTTAAAACGCTAGTTGTCAACCTGCCGGAAATAGCATCCGCGGTTGAAAGAGATCAAGGGATCAAGGGATCAGAGGAGTGTGCCAGATGGTATTACATCGCCTTTTACAAGGACGCCACTGTCCGCGAGCGGTACCCGATCAGGGTGCGCGCATGTCCCCAACAAATGAAGGATAAGCTGCTGACCATGCCGGAAGCATCGGATGAGGATGGTGTGACGGCCGAAGTGGAAGGGTGAGTACCGTACAACCCAACCCCAATGTATGCCACAATTCCCTAATGGCTAATTGTTTTGACCATTGACAGAAAGGGAAAGTTCATCTTTCCCGTCACTTTTGAGACGTTCAAAAAGAGCGTGGATTCGAGGAAGATGCGGAAGCTGCTTTACCACAGGGAATTAAACGCGCCCGAAGGCACCCAGCAAGGAGATCGGATGCTGATGGCGTATAAGCACTTTTATGCGTTCCCGGTAGCTCGAGTATTCACGGATATTTTCAGTGATGATCTATCTGATGCCCAGCTGACAAAGTTGTTGGGAGGAGGTAAAAGCATTTCAGCTACCGGGTAAGAAACAATCAAACAAGTCTTGGGATCTTTCAGTTTCTAATTTTTGTTTGCTTATCTTTGAATGCTATTTTTTAGTGCCACATCCAGCCATCCGATCTCGCTGAGCTCCGCGGACCACTTTGATGTCGTTTTCAATTGGGAAAGGTAAGACACATCATCACTTTTTCTGGTACACCTCTTGTGTGTGGGTAATAACTCTCATCTTTCATTGCAGTACCTATCAGTATCCCGTGTCCTTTGAATGGTTCATGTGTTGTATTAACTACGACGAACTCATCGGCCCCTTGCTGAAATATTGGATCACAGACGAGTCGCGGCTGCCGGCCCTGTTGGCCAAACCGCATGACTATCACTCGTTCTACGTTGATCCCAGTATACGGAGACTATTCAACTACCGATTCAAGAACTCATAAGGAAGCTGCGTAAACACGCAACAATCTTGACTACAAGGGCAACGCAAGTCAGCCAGTTAATGGAAACTACAGCACAGTGTCCAACAGCCCAGACGATTGGACTTGACCAAATGGTTGGAGTCTTTGAGGCGCCGAGCAGCCAGGTAGTATTGGCCGTTTGGCCATTGGGGCAACCCAAACTAATCCCGCCTGTCCCTTAATAGGAACACAATCGAAGTATCCACACAGTCACGGAAGTCATGGAAGTCACGACTGAGGCTGAGCCTGAACCTGTGGCTGTGGCTAATCTGGACGAAACACAAACAAATGAAACGACCGACCTCTGTGCGGCCAGGGTAGCCGAGCTTGAGAGGTAAGTAGCTTGAGTTGCCTGGCAATTGAGTGTAATTTTCTCACCTTCTTTCAGCCAAGTAGAAATTATTCGATTAGATTCGGGGAACAATACAGCGAATGCAGGTACACCTCCACATAGGGAGGCTGAGTCTGCTCTTCTGTCAGCTTCCCGGCTGGAAACATTACGGAATGCTCCGTTAATTACGGGGCGCGAGGTAAATAAAGACGATTATGTAGCAGATAGCAACGCTGCAGAGCTGCGTTATATTTCGTTGCGTAGCAGCTTTGTTGAATTTGTTGTTCTTTTTTCTTAATACAAATTGTTGTCCATTAACTTCAAACCTAAGAAATTGTGTTTGTATCTTTTCAGAAACCGTAACGCCATTAAAAGATGCCAAATACAAATAAAATGTTGAATTTGTATTTATTTGTTTTGTGTTTTATATATACATATGTATGTACATTTATCCCACAGCTGCAGTGCAATGCGTTGAGCAGACGATCCCCATTCCCCATTCCCCATTAGGACTTTAACAACTGAAAATAAAATTTTATCAGATAGATGAATCAATTTTCTACAATCTGGCTTATCTTAAGGACTCCCATTAATTGGATTATTTATAAAATAAGGTTTGAACAGAGTCAGCAAAAATTTTAATTTTTGTGAACGGTGCTACACATTTGCTACATATGGCACTTTGTATACCCAATTGGGAAATGTCCTTTCGTATTGTTAAACTTCTGCATTCCAATTGGAATGCAGCAGCTTAAGCTGCTTTGAAACCTAGGTACAAATTAATTTACTTGTATTGGCATGCTTTTGACCTAAATTAGATTCTATACATGTCTCGATCCCGTTTGGTAACTGCAAGAATTGCAATATTAATTTTTTTATTTATTTTATTTATCCATCTACTCATAAGCCTAGCACTCAAATCCAAAAGCCAGCAAACAAGTGTCATATATTCTTCTAGCGGCCAGTGGTTTGACCAGAGGTTTGCACTGCATTCCGTACGGTTACACTGTTCAGAGAGCTGCTTGGTTTTGATCAAAGTTAATAAAATGCACTTCCTCGGCTGTGGTCGCTCTTCCCATGGCATATCCTGGGCTCCCCAATATTTTATTGACAAGGTAATGTGTCTGACTATCAGCAGCAGAGGATTGAAACGCCTCTCGTGCCAGACACCGTGAAGACAAACTGTTTGAAAACAATATTTGTTTTATATTTATGAAAATTAATAAAAATAATAAATTATAATATCCATATAATTGTCATTCATATAATACTGCATTAATCTAGTTAATCTTTGTCGCGGGTCGAAACATACCAAAAAAACAAGCAAATACTTTTCCAGTATATACCGACCTTTTTGTTTATTGATCTGAGTACTGCCTTCCGTACAATCTGTAACAAATTTAACAAACCAAAATGTCTTTACCGGTGTCATTTGATAAATTTAAAACGCTAGTTGTCAACCTGCCGGAAATAGCATCCGCGGTTGAAAGAGATCAAGGGATCAAGGGATCAGAGGAGTGTGCCAGATGGTATTACATCGCCTTTTACAAGGACGCCACTGTCCGCGAGCGGTACCCGATCAAGGTGCGCGCATGTCCCCAACAAATGAAGGATAAGCTGCTGACCATGCCGGAAGCATCGGATGAGGATGGTGTGACGGCCGAAGTGGAAGGGTGAGTACCGTACAACCCAACCCCAATGTATGCCACAATTCCCTAATGGCTAATTGTTTTGACCATTGACAGAAAGGGAAAGTTCATCTTTCCCGTCACTTTTGAGACGTTCAAAAAGAGCGTGGATTCGAGGAAGATGCGGAAGCTGCTTTACCACAGGGAATTAAACGCGCCCGAAGGCACACAGCAAGGAGATCGATACAGCGAA